AGCTAAGACATAATTTTTGAATAATTTGCATAATTTGGAATAATTTACTTAATTATGCAGGTTTTAATGCAAGAGAGAATGTTGAACATAATACGCGAGTCAAAAAGTCTACACTTTAAATATTTCCCACGCACTTGTTATACAATAATTAATAAAATGTTTAAAAATGATGGAATGACTTTAATTAATATGTTTTATTTAAAAACATTATCACTTGAAAAACTTATTAATCTCTGTACTTTAGGTAATTGCAAAAAAATTAACAGAAGTTTGTCAACACTATACGAAATACAGTAAAATTGTCTTTAATACAACTTTATACAACATGCTCTTAAAACAATACCACAAAGATGTACCTCAGAGTTACAAAATCAACGCTTGACCAACTGACCAAGAGTCAGTTTGACTAACTGACTCAACAGCTATAGTAAAGACCAAAGCAAACTGCGTGTTTTAAATTGTTAATCATTATTTTTATTTCGTTTTGTTTGCATTCAAAATTTTGTATATATTTTTTTTAATGAAAGTAAACGCCTTCTCTGTAACCATAATAAGAGGTCAATCACAGCTACCGAGAAAAGCAAAGCAACCAAAAAACACATAAATGAAAATGAAAACAATAACCAGTTGTATCTGTGCCAATATCCAGATTTTATTTTCAAGAAGTTACGCTGACATGGCAGTAGTCATCCTCTCTGTCGTTTCAACAATAAACTTTGAAACCAGTTTTTTTTTGAAAAAGAAGTTTTGCAAAAAAAAAAAAAAACAAATACTTTTACCGGTAACAAATTATGTTAAAAATTATTAACTGAAATTCGTGCTACATATTTATATATCTTTATTATGTTTTGCCAATATCCGGGGAATTAGTTCCCCTTAATGGGAGTTTATTTTTGGTCTGCAAGTGAACCCCATTAGAGATTTTTTTATTATGGCATTCATGTAATTTAACAGTTATAGATTTCAATAGAATATTTAATGGTTCGTAATTTTATTTAAATTATTTGCAATAGTTGTTTGATTTTGATTAAGTTTTGTGTTTTTGAAAGCAAAACATTAGTATTTCAAGCGATAAGTTTAGTTAAGGCCCAGCAATAAACTTAAGTCTTTATGTTTGTTTATATGAATATAATAAAATATTCAAATCATATAATTATTTTAAGTGCGGGAGTAAAAAATCTCTGAAGAAAATTTTGCATGCAAATAACCATGAGTCATAGTTGTATTAGTGATTGTCTTAAAGAGATTTGTTAAGCCTTATCAAAACGATGTACCCTACATCGTTATAGTGCTATATATTTGTAACCACCGTTTTTTACGCAAAATGATCATGTAGCTGTTACTATAGTAAGCCAATATATTGGCTTCGCAAAAGTATTATCCAATGATCAAACCCACCACTCTAACATCCACAACAAACTATCACACATTGGCTTATCGGCAAAAACATGCGAGTTTTCTGATTCCCAGAGATTAAACTTTGTAATTGACATAGACCCTGAAATGAAAATGAACCTCGTAAGAAATTGTGATTCTTGCTTAATCTGCTTAGAGCTTCTGTGACGGATTGAATGGTTGTTCGCCTTGCAGTGATATTTATACCTTGTTTCATAGGTGATGATTTATTTATACTCATCACACCAAACATGGTGAAGAGCAAAATTCAGCATAATGTTTTACAGTCCATTTGTATATATATGACCCATTTGCATCAAGTAGCCCGATAACATTTACTTTAAAATATATGTATATTTAATGTTGAACAAAATTTAACTGAACAAAATTCCTATGGACATGATTAAACACGAGCAAGTAACTACAGATTTTAATACCCAAATTAAAATCAATACCACAAAACCCAGTCAATTACCTTGGTTTTAATATGTTCATGTACAAACTCCATCTAGGCATTTGTTCCAATGATTGAAGAATATTAGTTTCGGGAATCCACAAGAAACATGTAGCCAAAAACCTCAGATATCTAAAATATCAATAAACATCACATTAAACTGCGTAATTTATTTGGATCCTTCGGAGTTATTTCTTGGAATCTTTTAACTCAGGGTCTAACCAGAAAACCATATAATATGGTACTATAGCCAGCAATTGCCCATTGAAAATGAGCTGATAATACAAATATTGGGTGTTCGAAGTTGAATGAATATTTGTTGTATCTGATGGAATAAGATAGGTGATAATGATTGATGTTGGATGAAATGACGGAATTGTTTGATATTCAGGCTAATGTTGTATAGATAATTCTTTAATCTTTGTTCTAGAGGTTGAGGAATGCTTGTGAATGAACCAACACAGTCATGTACAAAAATTGCTAACTGTATGTTCTCCATTAAAGTTACTCGTCCACTCAGTGGAACTGCGTAATTCATTTGAATACTTCGGAGTTATTTCTTGGAATCTTTTGACTATGTTCAGTTTATCAGTTTATCTTTGTTCTAGAGGTTGAGGAATGCTTGTGAATGTACCAACATAGTCATGTATAAAAGTTGCAACCTGAATGATCTCCATTGAAGTTAATAGTCCACTCAGTGGGTGCAAAAGACCAATAGCATGGACATTATGCCAAATAAAGGTCCGATCGATAGATACAAGAACTCAGACATTTGAGAAAAAGGACGCTCTAATCGACAGATTGCAGTTGAATTGATTTCTCGCTGTGTACAAGACCCTTGGATTTCGTAGTCCTCAAGTTATTAAGACTTAGGCCAACTCTTATATGAAATCAGACAGAGATTCTTGAAGTTAACCATTAAAGAATACAGAGCTGGATCGCTTACTGAACTTGGGAACGATAATTTATTGGAACATTAGTTTAATTTTCCAATAAATTATATTTTACAATTAAAATTTCTTTATACATATGTATACATTACGATATTGGATTTGTCAAAAAATTATTGTTTGGTATTAATTTCAACCCATGGATGATTCCATGATTCCACTTTTTTAAGGAATTATTGTAGGTACTTCATTATCTTCAACGATGAATTGCACAAGAAATCGAAGTATTTTACGTGAACATCTGCCGTGTTGGCCTTATTTCACGATGGTACTTTTCAACCACAGGGTGAGCTGAGTAGACGACTCACCACCGCCCCTTTGTGCTTGGTGGCAATGCTTGTATATGGATCCTTTGCTCAAGTACTCGAGCTATATAATCTCTGACCATTGCTACGCCGTTTCTTTACAACCACAAGATGGGATGATCTCTGTTGATTCGACAACAGACGTATTCGGTAGACCTAAACACGAATCTTTCAAAAAAACCAAGGACTTATTCTTACTCACAGAGAACACACTGTGCGAAAGCTGGTATGAACATAGTAAACCCTGTTCATACTTGGACAAGGAAGGAAAATTCAATGGTATCACTTTTATAAGATACCGTACATTCATCACTATTCAAACCAGCGCACTTCTCATTTATCCAACACACGACACAACATCCGACACGCTCACGCTAGATATACGGTCCGCATACTTCTACATTCATCACCTAAATATTATATACACCAACTCATTTCCAATATCATCATAAACACCAACTTATTTCCAACGAACTTATCCAGAATTACAGATTTTTCCATGCATCAGTTTCTTAACCTACATTCTCTTCCCACGAATTTGGGTTTAAGCCCCAGCCATCACTTGCAACCCGAAGGGATCTCTCCAATAACCGGGACAAGACAAAGTCTGAAATTGCGTGGTTCTCTGGTTCAACCCCATGTCTAATCATTCCAAGGAAAGGCAGAGGATACATTTAGTTAGTCATCACCAGTATATATATAGTCCCGGCAGACTAGCATCTCTATTCCCCGGAATTGCAATAACACCAAGTTAGGGTCTTTCAAGTTAATATGCCCCCGGGGCAGCTAAATTGCACAAGTTAAACTTAATTTTTGGTCTAAATATAATGATATTGAGACGAAAACTATGTAACAAAGGAAGCTCTTCAACGGATTTTAGCAGCCTCTTGTGGATTTGAATTGGCCCCAAGGTATTAAAATATCAATACAATAGACGATTTTCCATTAAGTTTTCTGAAGTCGTTCGTAATTTTATTTCAATTATCCAAAACCTACCGATGCCTTAAAGTTAACATAACCTTGTTCAATTTGATTACCAAAGTTATTTGTAGGAAATTTTAATAAATCAATGTGGGAATAGTTTAAACAAAATACTATGATAACTCTTAAATGGGAATTTAATCTTCCCCCTTTTTGACAAGGGAACCAGTTTTTTTTTTACCATGTCATCTTACTGACCGATCACGCACTTAAAAGAAATGTGTGAAATATGAAGCAACAATGGGATTTACCTGAATAAAAATGAAATACAACAACAAATACAAACAAGATGAATGTTAAACACTCGTTTGATTGAAACATAAAAATCATAAATTAGTGTTTGTATTTGAAATGAGATTCTCTTCAATTGGCATGAATAAAATAAATTATACTAATGTATTTCCATTTGTTATTTAAAATTAGCTAATTATAAGTGAAAAGTTAAAATTTCGATATGATGGTTAATTAGGAATAATTTGCTAAAAAATTAGTAGTAATTTATAATTAATAAACTATTTGCAGATTGTTTTTATTTAACATGAAATTTCTTCCAAAATTTTAATTTTTGAAACTGAACATTTTAGCAAAGATATCCCGCTCAATCCAATAAAAATCCCTGTTGCTATTTTTATTATTGGAAATTTCCTTGTTGTGGTCATGAGGTAATGAAATTTTTTAGTAACTAACTGACTAGTATAAATTGATTAGCTTTATGGGATGACATCGAAGATGATGATGAAGATACTCTCGTAAAAAAGATTTTCGTTTTCATTTAGGTCACCTTCACTTTAATGCTGTAAAAATGTTGTTTTTAGCCCATAATAATGTTGTTTGATGACGACGAAGACGACCACGATAATGTTTCTTACGTTAGCTTGTCTTTTTTTTTTTCATTTTACATGCAGATACATACTCGCTCATTTGAACATAAAATGTTGTATCTCTTTGCATAATCTCGTTGTTAAACGCTCGTAGTGTTGTCTGAAGTTTGTAGTATAAAAGTTGGTGCAAATTTTGAAAATATCATTAGTTATCTAAACACAGTTTGGAACTACAGTTTGGTTAGCTTCGTCTACACAATTTGATTTTAAATTAAGCATAAATTACAACAAAATGAAGGTGGGTTTGCCGGAGCTCGAAGAATGGAATACTATTTGGATATTGGTGTGATGTGGATTTCATTACAAATACGATTTTATGTTTTTAGGTTTTCGTATGCCTGTTTGCTTTAGTGGCTGTTGCCCAAGCTGGATTTTTGGGCCTTGGCGGTGGTAGCTCCGGTGGCTACAGCTATGGTGTTGGTGGTGGTCACTCTGGTGGCTACTCCGGTGGTCACTCAGGTGGCTACTCCGGTGGTCATTCCGGTGGCTACTCCGGCGGTCACTCCGGTGGTTACTCTGGCGGTCACTCCGGTGGCAGCAGCGCTTCTATTATCAAGGTAGTCCATGAAGGTGGTCATGATGCTGGTTTCGGTGGTGGCTTCGATGGCGGTTACAGCGGTGGTTTCGATGGCGGCTATGGCGGTGGTCATGGTGGTGTTGAAGATGTCAAAATCGTTAAAGTCATCTCTCACGGTTCCTCTGGCGGTCATGGTGGCTTCTCTTCCGGCGGTCATGGTGGTTTCTCTGGCGGTCATGGTGGTTTCTCCGGTGGTCATGCTGGCGGTGATGTCAAAATCGTTAAAGTAGTCCATGAAGATGGTGGTTTCGCTGCTGGCGGTCACGGTGGCTTCTCTGGTGGTGATGCTGGCTACTCTTATGGTGGTGGTTTCTCCTCTGGTGGTCATGGTGGTTTCTCCTCCGGTGGTCATGCTGGCGGTGAAGTGAAAATCGTTAAGGTCGTCAGTGGTGGTAGCTCCGGTTACAGTGGCGGCAGCATTGGTGGCGGTTGGTCCTCTGGTGGTCACGGTGGTTGGTAAATCTAATCACTACATTGACTACTTCTCCAGTCAATTAAACACATCTGCCATTGCTTTGTTAAATCAATCTAATCTTTAATCTTTTGTGATATATTTCCAATTTTATTACTTTGTTCCTGTTTCCTCACCATTCACCTCTACTGATTGGCTACTAAAACCAATCATTTTGTTGCTAGTTTTTTAAGTTTCAACGTGTAGACATTATTAATGTTGTTATTAATTAAAACATTTTTTTAATTGTTGACCAAAAAAATAAAAATCCAAAAAAATATTAAAAACAAAATTATAATTGTGTTTCTATGGAGTGTGGGGAAATTAGGGGAATGATTGATGAATCTGTAAGACATACTTACTTATTTGTAAGTCAAGTGTATCTGTATTTAAATTTTATTTACAAGTAAATGTAGAGATTTTCGAAAAGAGCGGTTAGTTGTTAAAATAAAATAATGTGGATGGGTATCTTCCAGGTCAATATACAACAATAATGCTTTCCAAATACCATAACATGCACTAATAATTTTCTGATTACTCTAAGTGGATCCTATTTTATCCAATATTTAAGCAAATATTGCTGTATGATTGATCGTGCCACCTTACAAAGAGTGGAGAAAGCATTCAATAATATTATTTAAGATATCTATAGATAAGATAAATTTGTACAATGCTACTACATGATCTGGACTCTAGACTGCCTCAAAATTGTAAAACGAACAAATTTAATGCAATTGGTTGTAATAACTAGTGGTTCACACGGGGACTACAGGATTCGTAAGTTCGCCGAAATTAACTTAGTTAGCCCGAATGTTCTCGCTGCGAGCATCTCCTTTTAGGTTAAGCGAATCATTCATGATTCATCTCAATCTCCAACAGGTTTTGTCTATGACTCAGTAAATCAGAATGAAAAAATTGATGTCGTCCCAATAAAGATAGATAGAGTTCACAGTGTGATATGAGACTATAGACTAGACTATAGGATAGACTTTAGACTAGACTATAAACTAGACTAAAGACTAGAGTATAGACTATAGACTAGACCATAGACTAGACTATAGACTAGACTATAGACTAATTTATAGACAAGACTATAGACTAGACTATTGACTAGACTATTGACTAGACTATTGACTAGACTATTGACTACACTATAGACTAGACTATAGACTAGACTATAGACTAGACTATAGACTAGACTATAGACTAGACTAAAGACTAGACTAAAGACTAGACTAAAGACTAGACTATAGACTAGACTATAGACTAGACTATAGACTAGACTATAGACTAGACTATAGACTAGACTATAGACTAGACTATAGACTAGACTATAGACTAGACTATAGACTAGACTATAGACTAGACTATAGACTAGACTATAGACTAGACTATAGACTAGACTATAGACTAGACTATAGACTAGACTATAGACTAGACTATAGACTAGACTATAGACTAGACTATAGACTAGACTATAGACTAGACTATAGACTAGACTATAGACTAGACTAGACTATAGACTAGACTATAGACTAGACTATAGACTAGACTATAGACTAGACTATAGACTAGACTATAGACTAGACTATAGACTAGACTATAGACTAGACTATAGACTAGACTATAGACTAGACTATAGACTAGACTATAGACTAGACTATAGACTAGACTATAGACTAGACTATAGACTAGACTATAGACTAGACTATAGACTAGACTATAGACTAGACTATATACTAGACTATAGACTAGACATAGACTAGACTATAGACTAGACTATAGACTAGACTATAGACTAGACTATAGACTAGACTATAGACTAGACTATAGACTAGACTATAGACCTAGACTATAGACTAGACTATAGACTAGACTATAGACTAGACTATAGACTAGACTATAGACTAGACTATAGACTAGGACTATAGACTAGACTATAGACTAGACTATAGACTAGACTATAGACTAGACTATAGACTAGACTATAGACTAGACTATAGACTAGACTATAGACTAGACTATAGACTAGACTAAACTTATAGTAGACTAAGACTAGACTAATAGACTAGACTATATAGACTAGAATAGAACATATAGACTAGACTATAGACTAGACTATAGACTTAGACTATAGACTAGACTATGACTAGACTATAGACTAGACTATAGACTAGACTATAGACTAGGACTATAGACTAGACTAAGACTTTTTCGTCAACATAACAGAATAATAGCGACCATAAAAGATCCCTAGAACTGAAATGAATAGACTTATCGTAAAAGAAAGTATAACCCATTCTGAACTGACCTTTATCGTTGATAACCATTTACAAAGGGGGTATAGTAATGAAATTGGAAAAAAGTTTTAAAAGACCAATTATGGTCTTTATCAAGTTTCAAGATGATCTGTCCATAATAGACCCAACAAGATATAGTCCACTCGATCAAATTCTAAACTAAGCCTCAATATCGATATCTGATAATACAACTCAACATAAATCTAATATAAATCTAATAAATGTGTAAACGGCCATAATAAATGACAAAAGGACCAAAGTGTTTGTTAGTCGCTTATCGAAATTAACATTCAATTTATGATAAATTTTCTTTTTTAAAATATTGTACATACTTTTCTAACACTGTTTTAGATCAGGATATGGAAAAGAAAATTTAATCCTGGCACATTTTTTCCGATTAGGAATTAAAGTAATAAATTCTAAAGCTTCCTTTTATGAAAAAGTATAAATCTTAAACTAAATAATTTTAAAAAAATAACCAAAAATGAAAATATAATTCACATCTACACATTGGAAAATAAAATAAAGAATTTTGGTTAAAAAAAAACCAAAGTGGCAACACTGGCTGTAGTAGTCATTAACTAAATAATAACCCCCTTATTCACAAACAACATTTTTATTTTATAAAAGGTTTAAAAAACAAAATTTCCATATAAAATCTAATTTATAAACCGTTTATAAAATAAAAATTTTGTTTTTGAATAAGGGGGTAAAGCTTTATCGAAGAAACGTTACTTTAATATTAAAATATAATAACATAATATTATCTATAATATATTTATGTATTTTAGTACATTAATCATTATAAATGTTATTTCTCATACCTTATTATACTGTGAACATTACTCAAGCGTTAAAAAATAACGCTTACTGCGTTACACTTTAAAAAATCGCTAAAATAACCCTAAAACACACATACACATGCATATAACCTCCTAAAAATATACCACACTTTTGTTGAAAAAAAGCACAAATTTAAATAAATAAAAAAATATTAATTACGTTTTTTATGATATTACTTAAATGCACAAATTGCGCCTTGAATAAATAATTTGTTAAATTATATATGTATATATAAAAAAAAAAACTAAAAATAAAAACAATTATTTTAAGATTATATTATTATTATGCAAATTCTCAAATATTTTTATTTTGGCAAAATCTAACTAAAGTCACTGATGGAAAAATATTAAAAAAATAGACTTCGAAAAACTGGTTTTAAACAAAATTTTAAGTGCAAATCAAAAATGATGAAGCTCTCTTAATATTGCGGTTGATGGGTAAATCCCTCTTTAAACTTGAGAAAGAACTTCTTCAAATAATTGATAATAAAAAAAGGCAACAAAAGTATAAAAGCAATATACCGATCTTGATACAAAATTAGTTTTGAAATTATAGCAAAACTTAACTCATAATGAGGGTAAGAATCGGAAGTCTTGAAAAAAATAATAACTAATTAAAAAAGATTTCAAAAGTGTTAGGAATGAATTAAATGGATTAGTAAAATTATTTTTTATTTATATTTTTAGGCATTTGTTGCTGTTTTGGCTGTTGCCAGCCTTTTGGCCACAGCTAATGCTGGTTTTTTGGGATTATTAGGTGGCCTTAAAGGAGCTCTCGTTGGCGGCGGCGGTGGCTATGGTGGTGGTGGTGGCGGCGGTTATGCCAGCAGCTATGGCTATGGCGGTCACGGTGGTGGCGGCTACGGCGGTGGTGGCTACGGAGGTGGTGGCTACGGCGGTGGCGGCTACAGCGGTGGTGGCGGTCATGTCGATGTTTACAAAGTTATAACTACAACTTCCCACGGAGGTGGCGGCTATGGCGGTGGCGGCTACGGCGGTGGCGGCTATGGAGGAGGTGGCTATGGTGGAGGCTATGGTGGCGGCTATGGTGGCGGCTATGGTGGCGGCTATGGAGGCGGCTATGGAGGCGGCCATGGTGGTGGCGGTCATGTTAATGTCTATAAAGTCATTACAACTTCTAGTGGTGGTGGCGGCTATGGTGGCGGCTATGGTGGCGGCTACGGTGGCGGCTACGGTGGCGGCTACGGTGGCGGCTACGGTGGTGGCCATGGTGGCTGGAAATCCAGTTGGTAAACCACCTCCAGTTAATTCAATTTTATAAAATAAGACAAACGATAATTAAAACCAATAAAGCTTAATCATTGCCCAATTATCATAAAAACTGCATATCTATCGATCTTCTTTAGAAAAAATTCCACAATAAGAAATCAATAACGTTCATACAATTATTTAGTTCTTTTTCTAATTAAAAACAAAAGCAAAGCAAAAACTTGAAGGTCATATATAAGCAAATGTTTATGAACAAACAAAAATACATACTCATTTAATTAAAAACAACGATCAGCTTGCTGAAAAGCAATTAGTCAAAAATAGCTAATGAATTTCATAAAATAAGTTATTAAATTTCTTTTTAAATTTAATAACTTATTAACACATTTGGCGTGAAATTGAAGAGTTGGACATAATAAACAGAAAAAAAATAATTAATTATTTAATAGTAAAATACCCAGAAATCTAATTCCATTCAGTTTTTTCTGTGCATAAATTTGTTTAATTTAATTTTTAACAATAACAGTAGTAAATAACAGTAGTAGTTATTTAAATAGTATAAACAACAAACAAAACATGTCTGCACAATATTGATGATTTTGGCTGCAAAAATCACATTATCTTACTCATCTCCCGATTAAATTATGCATTTTAGTTAACAAACTGGAAATGTTTAGAACAAATATTAAAAAAAAAAGTTTTGAAATAATAAACCTAACTCGTTTCGAAGTTTCAAGAAGAATGTGAAATAAAAATTGATTTGTTTTAGGAAATTTTTCAAATACAAGACTAGTTCTGAAATTGTCTAGAAATTGCATACCCAGAATGTGACTGTCAACAACTATTGTTAATTATTCAATCACTAATGTTAAATCACGGCGATGAGTTAAATGATTGAGAAACACTCCCAAATAAAAAGCTTTTATTCAAATTATATTACTATTTTAAGAGATTTTTCTGTTCTAAATATACATACATATTGTCGTAAATATTAGTAATATCGGCGACGTAGATCGGAAGCCGATTGATATACATACATAATCAAAGTTTACAACCAATTGATATTGTCATTTTTCCATCGATTCCATATATTCTGGTCCTTGTTAGATTCTAAAACAATCTAGGATGTCTTTCTATTGAAAAGCACGTTAGGGTCTAAACCGAAAAAGCTATAGATAGTTTTATGCACCCAGAGATATAATATTAAGTATGGTGAACTTCGGCCCATATTTGATCCTGGAACTCAAGATAATCATGAAATTCTTTATAAACAAGGATTGGGCAAAATTTGATCCATAAAATGTATCCTTCAGAAGATTATTTTATCCGTTATAGCATGATTAAAATACTAGTGTAACGATGAAATATGATTCATAAGAACTTAAATCTTTTTACCAAATTTCATGAGGATTGGGCTACATTTAACCCTAGCCCTCATTTAAGGTCAGATTTTTAGCAAGAAATTGGATTTTTACTAAAAAAAAAAAACAGAACCTTTAGTAAAAACAAGTTACAGTGCTATATTCGGCTGTACCGAATCTTAAATACCCTCCACCAGCAAGCTATTTTTAATTAAAACCCATTTAACTATCTAATTTTTAGATAACTTTGAAAAATTTTTGTTTCCGTATTGATATGCATATGTCAATCTAATTTTAATTAAGTCCAGAAAAATTTATATTAATAGGTCAATTCGAAAACATTTTATAATGATTTATCTGTACACAGAACATATTCATGTCGAATTTTATCCGGATATAATCACTTAATAAGGAATTAAGGTTTTCAGAAGTAAACCTTATATGGGAGCTAAGATAAAACATATTTGTGTCGTATTTTATCATGATAACTTTATTTGACAATTAAATATGTGCATTTAAGTGATTTTCGGAAATGGGCCTTATATGGGAGCTATGACCAATAATTTACTGATCCGGGGAAAAAAGTGGTAGAATGATTTATATGTACACAAAACATATTCAAGTCGAATTTTATCCTTATAGCTTTAGAATTTTATGAAATATATGCGTTTAAGTGATTTTCGAAAGTGGACCTTATATGGGAGCTATGACCAATTATGGGTCTATCCGGAAAAAATTTCGTAGAGTGATTCATATTTAGACAAAACATATTTGTGTCGAATTTTATCAAAATAGCTTTATTTGACAATGAAATATTCGCCTTTAAGAGATTTTCGGAAGTGGGCCTTATATAGGAGCTATAACCAGTAATGGACCGATCCATAAAAAAAATTTGGTAAAACGATTTGTATGTACACAAAACATATTTGTGTCGAATTTTATTTATCCCTATAGCTTTTGAATTCAATGAAATATATGCGTTTAAGTGATTTTCGGAAGTGGACCTTATATGGGACCTATGACCAATTATAGGCATATCCCGAAAAAAAAACTCCGTAGAGTGATTCATATTTAGACAAAACTAATTTGTGTCGAATTTTATCAAGATAGCTTTATTTGACAATGAAATATGTACTTTTAAGTGATTTTCGGAAGTGGGCCTTATATGGGAGCTATGACCAATAATGGTCCGATCGGTAAGATCGTTGTAGAATGATTTGTATGTGCACAAAACATATCTGTGTCGAATTTTATCAGAATAGCTTTATTTATCAATGAAATATGTGCGTTTAGGTGATTTTCGGAAGTGAACCTTATATGGGAGCTATGATCAATTGTGGACCGACTGAGATCTACGTTAATAGTATGATTTTTGTTCATATTATATTTGCATGTACAAAATTTTGCGATATATTATATATTTGAGGAAGTTATTAAAGATAAACTAATTTCCGGGAATATATACCTTTGTATGGGGGCTATGGGAAATATTGGATCGATATTTTGGGTGAATTTGGACAAAATTTATCGAAATATCTTTGGTAGTTTCTGAGAAAACTTATTAAGAATTAGGAAAAAAAACTTAATTTTTTTCGAGGTAGTCTGAAATTTTTATTCGTAACTTTTTACGTTATGAACCGATTTTGCTGATTTTCAATACCAAACTGCTTAGGATAATAATAAATATTTTGGGTGAATTTGGTTGATTTCATTTGCTTAGTTTTAACGTGAGCGTGTTTTAGGCAGACAGACAGACGGACATAGCTAACTCAGAATTTCATAAGGACCCAGAATATATATACTTTGCTGGGTCTTAAATTAATATTTCTTGGTGTTACACACTGAACGACAAACTATTATATGGAGGGTACAAAAATTGGATTTTTAGAAGAAAAAAAATTAGATTTTCAGTAAAAACTTGGATTTTTATTAAAAATTAAGATTTTTGGTATAAATTTGGATTTTTATAAAAATTAAGATTTTTAGTAAACAATTGAATTTTTAATAAAATATTGGATTTTTAGTAAAAAAAATACTTTTTAGTAAAAAAGTGGATTTTTAGTTTACAAATTTTATATTTTAATTTAATTTAAATTTAAAAATTTAATTTTTAGTAAACAATTGGAAATTTAGTAAACATATATATTTAGTTAAAAATCTGATTTTTAGTAAAAAATTTAATTTTTAAATCTATTTAAAATATTTTGATCTATAAAAAAGATTAAGATCATTAAAATTTGTTCCCGATATTTACAAACGAAACTCAACAGATATGTAGTACAATTTTTATTTATTAGCAAAACTCAATAGAATTTTCAACTTTTTTTTTTTTTTTGTTTTTAATTTTTCATTCTTATTAATAAAGTGTAAAAAAATTTCTCAAAAGGTCAAAAGAAATCCCGCAATTCCCGAAAAATTGTAGCCAATATCCCAAAAAAAAATTTTTTTTTTTTTCAAATTTGCACATTTCTCTCGGGGCTGGGAATAATTGGCGGATAAATAGGAAACACGTTAAGACTTCCAAAATTACTTTCCGTTTTCTAATCCCAGCTTTGGGATTTTAGAACATGTGTCCCAAAATTTAAATTTTGATAAAAAATAGGCCGAATTCGGAACTTGAACATATCTGTTATTATTTATATAATATGTATATTTAAAACAATTCACTTCTTAGTTTCAATTTTATTACAATAAACATATGGGCATTTCCACTGAAAAGTTCACCGTGGCTCAAAAACTAAAAGTCATCAAAAATAAAATTTCAACTTCAATTATTATAGAAAAAGATTCAAATTTTATTAAATTAAAGACCCCAAAGCTTTTCTTAACCACTATGATGAGAAATCAGAATTAAAAGTTACAATAATATTTCAGGCACCTTTAATAGCATTTGCTTTTAATAGTTTTTATTATTTTAAAGGCTAATACTTAAATGGACTTTTATCGGAAAATATTTGTTGGAATAATAGTTATCTTAAAACATACAAATATAAAAAGATAAAGATCCTTAAAAGGCAAATTTTCGGTTTTCTTTCATAGACTTTTAAATGTCACGTTCGTCACGTTGAACAGGATTTATCCCGATAACTTCTTAGTTAGCATTCAGAAGTATTCAAAATTTTGAATCTAAATCAAGTTTAGTATATAGAACTCAATTTAAAAGAAAAAAAAATAATTCTATGCGGGGTTATTTTTTGTAGAATTTCAAAGTCTGTCACGTCACAGAAATTCAACAAATGATATTTTTAAGAAATGTATGGAAAAAAGTGATTTTCGGATATCGGCTTTATATGGGCGTTATGACCGATTATTGTATTATCATCAGAAGGGTCAGTAGTTGTACATTTTAAAGTTTTTTGTGTGTTTGTATTATCAGCATGGCGAAATTTTAGTTATATATCCAAGTTTATGGGTATATCAAATGTGGGCTTTGTATGGAAGCTATGCCTAATCATGGACCAATTTAAAAAAAAAATAGGATGAACGATTTTTGTGTATGTCAAAATTATTTGTGTTGAATTTTATGGTGATATAAGGCTTTTTAAAAGTTAATTAATGTTAATTCTTATATTATTCTTATACGGGAGCTATTTTCAACTAAAATGTTATTAAATAGTCGAAATATTTCTCCGATTCCAAAAACGTTCAACAATGTCCGTCCAAAATAAATCTATGGACTAATTAATTTTCAATATTATTGCAAATTTCATCATTGGAAATTTTTGTCACATCACATCACGTCATGTCAGGTCACGTCACACATAACGGCTTGTACAAAAAAATCTGAAAACAATTTTTTAGTTCTAAAAGCTGAAAAACAAATAAAAAAATATTCCAAATTACAATAAAAAAGGTTTTAATCAAATAGCCAGGTGAAACTCGCAGATTTTTACATTCTTGTCAAAAAAGAAATAAGCAACTTCTATTTCTGTCACATCACGTCACGCACTTTAACTACTTATATCTTAGGGCCATTAAGATCTTTCAATTTCTTCTTCCGACCAGTTATAGAGCTATTGAAGCCCTATATAAAAATACAAGAATTTTTAAAAAATATATATGTTTATATATATTTTTCATCTCTTTAAAACGTACGACCGTCACGTTCGTCACGATGGAAATGCAATAAATTTTTAGTGCGCACTCCTTACTTTTAATAAACATTTATGTTCTTTAACATCAGCATGTTAAAATTATGTTTTGAAATCCTAATATATAAGTAGCAAATACTAATTATATTCTATTCTGGTAAGTCAAATTTTTGCTGGGAAATATCTTCAAATTTTGTTTACTACTCTAACAATTAAAAAAAAACTCTAACCAACATCCTAAAACTATACTTCACTTAAACATTAAAAAATAATAAAATAAAACTAAAGTTTTTTTAAATTATATCAAATGCACCAGACACACTTAGAATAACAATAATATGTTAAATTAAAAAAAAAAAAAAAAAACAATACAGCTATTATTTTATTATTTCTGCTTCTTTATTATTTTCTTTTGCAAATCCATAGAACATCATTTTTTGTACAGAATTTAATAAAATCGCGAAAAACTGGTTTTATACAAAATTTTGAATGCAAATCAACGATGGTGAAGGTTTATTAATGTCAATTAAAAATCGAGGAAGAATTTTAATTAAAATGGAAAAAAGTAATATTAGTATAAAAGCAATAGAACGATTTAATTTGAACATTAGTTCAAAATTAAGAACAAAACAAGATTAACACAATGAAGGTAAGATTCGTAAATGTCTTGCAATAAAATAATTTCGCAAAACTAGTAGGAAGTGAGTTGGTTTGTTAATAATTTTATTCTAAACTTTTAGGTTTTCGTTTGTGTTTTGGCTGTTGCCAGCATTTTGGCCACAGCTAATGCCGGATTTTTGGGATTACTAGGAGGTGGTGGCCACGGCGGTGGCGGCTATGGTGGCGGTGGCTACAGTGGTGGTGGTGGCGGTGGCTACAGTGGTGGTGGTGGCGGCTACGGAGGTGGTGGTGGCGGCTACGGAGGTGGCGGTGGCTACAGTGGTGGTGGTGGCGGCTACGGAGGTGGCGGTGGTGGCGGCTACGGAGGTGGCGGTGGTGGCCACGTTGATGTTTACAAAATCATCACTACTACTTCCGGCGGTGGTGGCGGCTACGGTGGTGGCGGCTACGGTGGTGGTGGCGGCGGCTACGGTGGTGGCGGCGGTTATGGTGGCGGTGGCTACGGTGGTGGTGGTAGCTACGGTGGTGGTGGTCATGGCGGAAGTTCTGGCGGTCATGTCAGTGTTTATAAAATCATCACCACTTCCGGCGGCGGTGGTCATGGCTATAGCGGAGGCGGCGGCTACGGTGGTGGCGGTCACGGTGGCGGCTGGAGTTCCGGTGGCGGCTGGTAAACACTTCTAATTTATCTCGTTTTAGTAGATAGAAACGTTAATTTAGAAAAACGAATAAAAACTTTATCATTATTTAAACTTTATCTCATTTATTTCCTCCTTAAATGCTATATTCGGAAGTAGAAAACCACAAATTAGAAGAAAAAAATCGATTAACAGTTTATTATTAATCAAATAAAAAACCACCACTTTTAACATTAATATCATTTATTTGCAAATTTTTTTTCATAATTTAGAATTATAAATCTGCTTGATCAATTAACTTTAAATTACTATAAAATTAAAGAAGACATCAAATTTCTTTTGAAATCTTTAACGTACTTACTGTAAGTTTTTACAGTTTAATAAATATTTAACAAAAAATATGTTTTATCTTGAAAATAAATCATAAAATATTAATTTTCATTATTTTTTAATCAATTTGCCTAACTTATTCGAACAAAAGAATAATGGAAATTTATTTTGAATAATAAATGTTTGTATATCACTAAAATGACAATTAATAATAACATAGGCTTTACTGAATCTTTTGTGTTTAGTTTTGTAAAGAAATACTAGTCCATAATGAATTCATGGAAATTTTGTTTATCAAATTAAAAAATGTTATTAATGTTGATACAGTTGACTCATGCTACTATTGTTTAAAGCAAAACACACAAAAAACTGGTCCGTAAATCTATTTGTTAAATTAATCACTTATTAAAGTAACAAAAAAAGTAAACCGATTCAATCAAATTTTGTTCTATAGTCTAGTCTATAGTCTAGTCTATAGTCTAGTCTAGTCTATAGTCTAGTCTATAGTCTAGTCTATAGTCTAGTCTATAGTCTAGTCTATAGTCTAGTCTAGTCTATAGTCTAGTCTATAGTCTAGTCTATAGTCTAGTCTATAGTCTAGTCTATAGTCTAGTCTATAGTCTAGTCTAGTCTAGTCTATAGTCTAGTCTATAGTCTAGTCTATAGTCTAGTCTATAGTCTAGTCTATAGTCTAGTCTATAGTCTAGTCTACTAGTCTAGTCTATAGTCTAGTCTAGTCAGTCTATAGTCTAGTCCTATAGTCTAGTCTATAGTCTAGTCTATAGTCTAGTCTATAGTCTAGTCTAGTCTAGTCTAGTCTAGTCTATAGTCTAGTCTATAGTCTAGTCTATAGTCTAGTCTATAGTCTAGTCTATAGTCTAGTCTATAGTCTAGCTCTATAGTCTAGTCATAGTCTAGTCTATAGTCTAGTCTATAGTCTAGTCTATAGTCTAGTCATAGTCTAGTCTATAGTTCTAGTCTATAGTCTAGTCTATAGTCTAGTCTATAGTCTAGTCTAGTCTAGTCTATAGTCTAGTCTATAGTCTAGTCTATAGTTCTAGTCTATAGTCTAGTCTATAGTCTAGTCTATAGTCTAGTCATAGTCTAGTCTATAGTTAGTCTATAGTCTAGTCTATAGTCTAGTCTACTAGTCTATAGTCTAGTCTATAGTCTAGTCTATAGTCTAGTCTATAGTCTAGTCTATAGTCTAGTCTATAGTCTAGTCTATAGTCTAGTCTATAGTCTAGTCTATAGTCTAGTCTATAGTCTAGTCTATAGTCTAGTCTATAGTCTAGTCTATAGTCTAGTCTATAGTCTAGTCTATAGTCTAGTCTATATAGTCTAGTCTATAGTCTAGTCTATAGTCTAGTCTATAGCCTAGTCTATAGTCTAGTCTATAGTCTAGTCTATAGTCTAGTCTATAGTCTAGTCTATAGTCTAGTCTATAGTCTGGTCTACATTTTTATTAATCTACCCGCTGCTTTAATCTTCACAGATAAAATTTTATTTAAATCAAAATTAGTAAAAACAACAAAAATTTCACAACAGAAGTCTTTCGTTATCATCAAACTATTGTTTGAATGTTTGAAATCGTAGTACAGACCAAACATCGAATGTCGATTAAATCGTTATAATTTGTTGTCTTACTTATACATATGTATATTTTTCTTCTTCTATGAAGGTCGTCTGTCAACTTTTTTCCGTTTATTGCGTTATAGACAGACACGCATATTTTTAAAGAGGCCTTTAATAAGAGGTCTAATACAAGTATCATGACCTAAAAATATAAAATTCCTATTAAACATGCATTTATTAAAAACGGTTTTGTTTTAAATTATGTTTAGAGAAAATATAAAAGTTTGAGTCATTAGGGATGTGTTCGATTCACAATCTATAATGTGGTGGTTAGTATTATTAAATGGAAGTTAAGAATAACTAGTTTCAGTTAAATAAGTAGTCGGGTGCAAGAAATAGTTTTGCCTTAAATCTGCAATCAAATTATTAACAAAAATGGCATTTAAATTTCTACCTAAACTGATAAAGTATTTAAATAAATAAATTCTTCCATTGTAGCCTTAATGAAAGCAGATTAATAACTTATTGCTAATATTAATTTCGATTGGCAATCAAAATCTAATTTTGGCTATAGTAATAAATCTTTGAAAGGAAAAAAAAAAACAAACTGGTATTTCAAACCTTTTGTGTGTATAGAACTGGAAAGGTGATATAAATAAAGCCAGTTGTTGTATAAACAAGAGGGTGTGCGAATATTATTTAATATACAAAATGTTTATTTTTATAATAAATTAAATATGCATGGATTTATATTTATAATAAACAAATTAAAATATTAACTTAAACATTTACTGCCTTGTTTAAATCTGGTTAATAATAAAATAATTACATTATTTTAAGTGGACGGAAAAATTCCTAGCTACTGAAAAATCGATTAATCTTTATATGCAAAGGTAATAATATATACATAATAACAAACGTTATGAATTTGTTGATATTTTAATTAAGGCTGTGCCGCAGCAAGAATCGATTCGCGCATGGCCGACCATATAATATCCTACAACAATTATAAGTAATTTTCTGAAGTGGACTTTGTATGGGGTCTACACAGAGAGAAAAAAGACATTTTAAAATTATACACGCCTGGTACCAAATTGACACCAAAGTGTTTATAATTTTTCAATAACATTTATTGTCAAAGTATGTACGGATAGTTGACAAACCAACAACAAAAATATAAAAAAGTAAACAACGTTATCAAATCAACAAAAAAATAATAATGTGTTATAAAAGTGACAACGCTATGTTGTCAAACAGAACGTTAAGTTGTCGAAATCACAACGATGCATTGCCGAAATGACACAAAGTGTAATCAAAATAACAACAATGCGTTGTTGCAATGACAACGATGCGTTGTCAAAACTACAGTGGTTGTTTCAAAATGTAAACTGGGTGTTATTTTAATTTTATACACATCCGTTGTATAAATGTTAACAAACGTTACTTTTCTACCGGTTTCTTCCCTCTGTGTGGGATCAAGCGAGGTCTGACTAAATGTTAACAAACGTTGTAAGCTCACTTTTGACAACGGATTGTATCAATTTCGTTACTTTTCTACGGGTTTCTTTAACATGATTTACATGGTTTTATCAACTTAGAAAACTGTATTGAGACGATTGGTATACTTTAAAGTTGGTATATGATCAATATTGTTCAGCTTTACAAAGATAAGTTCAGACTCAAAATAATATCCATAATTAACTTTTACAAAATTTTTGAAAAATTTCAATTGGCCCTATCCATTCCCCATAGGGCATAAAAATATACGTCGAAAAAATATATCACTTTTCAAATTTTTAAATTTTTTAATACAAAACTGTAAATTTTCGATATAAACTAGTGTCATCGTTTGACCACGACATTTACACGGAAGAAAATCATAGATAGAGGCGGTGGTTTATCCCTATTACTATTAAAAATTCATGTAAATTTGTTTGTGAATGGTTTTAGATAATCGACTTGCACCAAAATGATCCGAGAAAAATATTTTCGTTATTAGAACACTACTGGCTACCACGTAGTGATAGGTCCTAATTTTGGTTATAACTCTAGTACTACACTCAAATTTTAATATATTAGCAACAGCAGCTTGAATATATACGCGAAATTTTGATATTCATACGAACAATTTGGGGAAAAACTATATACAATAATGGACGTGGAACCTCCCACATAAAGTAAATGCGTGGTAGCTCTCATACAAAGTATTTTATTTCTCAGTAATTAAAACACATAAGTACTATCTTAATATCCTTCAAAAATACTTTTACAATATATTTGTATATTTGGGACAAAAAAAATCTGGCAAATTAGCAATAATAGTCCTTCCAATAAGAAATAAGTATACAAAAATATAACGGGGAAACAATTGAGGTCTTCAAATTTTATAAGAAGAACTTTATTTGATATTTACAATAATGAAGCTTTTTATTAATATTGCTATAAGGGTAGCAAAGCTCACTGGGTATAGCTAGTTAATATATTTAAGAAAAATAAAACTTTCTAATTTATTCGAAAAATATTTTTTTAACGAAGAACGTCACTATCTATTTTGAATTAAAATCTTCTGAAACATTTAAAACAAGTAAGAGAGTTATTATCGAATCGAATTTAACATATTAAAATTATAATTGACGGACTGACGGACAGACAGACGGACAGACAGACAGACAGACAGACAGACGGACAGACAGACGGACAGACAGACAGACAGACAGACGTACAGAGAGATAAACGGACATGTCGGATCGTCTTAAAATTTTTCCCGGGGACCCAGAAAACATATTCTATACGAAATATAGAATACACATCATCAAAACTTTTTATGTAAAACAAGACAACACAAAACTAGAACAAATCTAATTTCTTCCTGAAATATTTATTATTAACACAGCATAATGTATTATCTATCACCTTGTTCCATTAAAAAAAACTTGTGCTATAAAAACCTTCGCCGGGTCGAACGATCTTAACATCACAGTTGCATGGTTAAAAAGCATTTATAGATTTTGTGTTGGTTTTATATAACAAAATTATTCACAGCTAAAGAAAACAATAAATAAGCAGATTGGTAATGAATTAAGTAATATGACCAAAAAATTTGTACTTGCAATGGCATTAGTTATTGTTGTAATTATAATACGTAAGATGCCTAGAGGCTCTTAATAATGATCATAATTTGATAAGATCAGGCAACAAACATAATAATC